GAAAAAAAGCCTGTCTTCATTCAACTAGATTTTAAAGGTGAAAACATTGCAGAAATGGTCAACAGAAGACTGAGAACATCACTAGCCAGAGCCTATCCTGCAGCTAAGTTGGTTCCCGTCCATCGAACAACATGCTCTTTGGTGCAGTCAAAAGTCGATAGATACCCTTCTCATGTTAACTCCAACTGTGTATACAAATTTACGTGTATCTGCGGGAGCAGTTACATTGGGAGAACAGAAAGAAGGGCACACCTCCGATTTTCTGAACATGTGCCAAGAAGCCTACGTCTCAAGGGAACAAACTCTTACAACAGCGCTATCACTAGACATCTTCTCGACACGGGTCATGAGGTAGAAATCGAGAAATCCTTTAAAATTATCAATAGACAAAGGAGTTCCATTCTCCTCAAGTTTGCCGAAGCAATCTCTATCAAACGCTTGAAACCAGATTTATGTGTTCAGAAAGAAGCAGTTATCAATCTCTCTTTGCCCTGGTAACTGAATGTCTTTATTCTCTCATCTGATTACGTAATCTTTGTCTTTAACCTCACCCCCTTTTATATTCTGTAATTTTGCTTGTCTCTTGTTTCTATGATTTGAGTTGAACTCAGTACATTGTTACCTAATTTCTTAGTCACTCTGTATCTAACTCATATTTCGTCTTTATTACGTAACTCCTTTACCATTTTATGCATACATTCTATTTTGTTTAAACTTGAACTGCATGTGTAAAAACTATATAAGCGCAATTTTCTGAGCACTGTTCACTTACTGTGGAACTTTTTGTCAACTGGCAACATGTAAAAATTTGCAAGTATGTTAAAACTTTTCTGTACGCAAACCTCATTATGTATTTAGGCTGTAAGCAGCTGATGAGAAGCCTACGAAATAAATGATGGTACCATATTATTCTGCACAAACCACTTTCGTTCTTGCTTTATTCAAAGAGAAATTTAACCTTTGTGATCACTTCATAACATTATGTGTGTAAGCGCAATATCGCTTGAAATTAAGTCACGCGTAGATAAAGTCTATCCCGGTCCAGAACAAACAAGTAGCCGGTCACTGTTGCTACGGTACTATTAATAAACAAATCAATAATTATATATACAACAAACCTTAACGGTTTCAACAGTATAAAGCACAAAGCTTAACAGAAAGCAAAGTACCGCTACCAGAGCGGAATAACGTTAAAGCCAAAACTGCGAACTAGCTGGATCAGACACGACCGTTCAGGTAAGCAGTCAGTAGAAGAATGAACCCAACTAAGGCAGGGCATAGAAGAGAGAGCGCTTAAGAGATAGACAGAGCATAGGCACAAAGATGGAATTGAACTGGTTACTTAACCAGGTAGGCTGATACAGATGAAGATCAATAAATTAGATAAACTCGACAGAATAGTACAAAGTAAGACATGGGTCAGCAAAAATAACAGTTCACAAAATACTCTGATTGGGTCATGAGTTCAACGGTCTGACTAAACGGATCGATGTAAGAAACACACACAGTTCATTTGAATTATTTTGCTATCGAATTAAATTAACAAAGAAACTATGTAATTGGCACAATCATCGTGTTTTCAGTCTCCGTTGTCTGGAACAAAATGCACATCCTAAATCCGTAGCTGTCGAGTCACCTGACAACTCCAGTAGGTCGAATAAAGCAGCTCAATATTCAGAAAGAAGACAATGCAATAAGTTCGACAGGGTGCTTAAACTAAACTCTAATCCTAAACACCATAATTTTGAAAATACGTCTAATCATAAAAATTCTAGATACTAGCAGTTTGAACGGACATGAAGGTTTGATGTTAGCTGATGCATAGGAAATCCTGATTAATAAATAAAAATGGATATGTATCACTAATTAATAATACTTGGTCAAATTCCTGACTGTCCATATCTTCTTATGGAAACGTTAAGAAATGTTTTACAACTGTTTACCCACACACACACGCATGCACACTCTGTTTAAAGTGTTTAACAAAGGTAGACCAATATTTGTAAGTCCGATGTCAAATTTTGATCACAGGTCATACAATTTTGTCTATTATACTTGTTGATACTTGTTGAATGACTCCTGATTGGACAAAGTTTTTAAAAACAAAAGATGTTCCTTTTATAAATAAAACCTCTGTTATGTTAATTTTGATTAATTTCCCTGAAGAAGTTCGGACCAGATTGCCGAACGAAACGTTTGAATTACTCATTTCAATATCGCTGAGATTTTACAAATATAATTTTTTACAAACACACACACAGTTCATTAAACAAGGAGGGATAGACACGTTAGGCATGGATAATTGGGTTGCAACAACGCTAGGCTGATCCGGGGCAGGTTGACTTGATTCAAGGATGAGAATTGAATTGATCTTACAATGTGATCTCCGTAATAATCAATTCTAGATAAATAAACTGAATATTGTCACAATCTGTAACTTACTGACTGGTTTCAACATAGAACTTTGCACAGAAGGGTGGCAGTTTGAGTTGCCGCAGTCGATATAGAACACAAAGCAGGAAAAGAGAGTAAATAAAGATTCAAAAAAGAGATAAACAGAAGTGTAAGGCAATGGTGATGCGGAAGAACAATCAAGTTTTATTGGATATGATAAATCACAAATAATGAGCCATATCACCAATTTTCCCCAGTCTTTGGTTACTACCATCTCGAAGACCCGAACCAGGTAGTCAGTACCTTCGTACGAGGCTGGCTTAAAAAAAACCGTTAAAGATTTCATAGACTGATGCCACGTTTTCTCATGCGCACTGCATGTCCTAGCCATCAATCACAATCGATGTAGTTCCACAATCTCATCGAATGAATTTCCCTCCCCAAGACAGGGCTAAGGGATATCATACACCACATAAGTCATCGTTTGAGTGAAGCTCGAATAGGAAATGAACAGTTGGACGTTAGTCTGAGAGTTACATGTAGGAAATCACACTACCAGGAGGAGGAAATGAAATCTTGTGGGTAATCATGGAACTAGCTCATAAAGACTGAAGAAAACAGAAATAAATGATGACAATGGGCTGCCAAAGCCCTATGTTTCATTGGGAATAATAATATATCAGTAATGTGTGTGTTTACCCCAGAAATGTACGCAAACACACACACACACTACTGAAGTGTGTAGTGGTATCCTGGTGCAAATATCATCTGAAATTCGATTGACATATGGTTTACTAATTGATGGGATTATATTTTATAACAGTACCACCAGTTTACAAATTTAACAAAGCGTATGCATCATAATAAGTATTATATTATTAGCATTGTATCCTTTAGTTCCTAAAGGAACATAGGGCTTCAGCCGCATGTCTCCGTTGCGTTCGGTTCTGCAACAACGTTTTCATCATCTGGCTCCACGTCTGCCCACATGCTTCATCTCCTTTTCACATGACCTCCTCCATGTTACCCTCAGACTGACGACCAACTCACCGCTACCCTTTCGAGCTGCACTTGAATGATGGCATGTCGTGTGATGTCACTTGATGGTTTGTTTTTTCAGAGCATGACCAGTCCACATCCATTTCTTCCTCCATATTTATTGAACAATCAGTTCCTGCTGGATTGATTCACTCATTGCCAGTGATCCCTGTTTATGATCTTTTCTGGCCATCTGATCTTGAGTGATATTGAGCAAAGACAGCTGTTGATGAAGGTCTGTAGTTTGTTTGAAGTGCTCTTCATGACGAGCCAAGTCTCTGATCCGTATAGTAGCACTGACTCCACATTGGAGTTGAAAATCCGGATCTTATTTTCATTTTTATTCTTAGTGCTGTTGACCTCCACACAGACTTGAGAGTAGTGAAAGCTTGTCTTGCTTTTCCGATTCTTGCTTTGATATCCTCGTCAGTTCCGTCCGCCTGAGTTGAAACGATGCTTCCCAGATAGGTAGGTAGATGAAGGAGGTTCCTTCTCTGAGATTTCTTCAACTTATGCTGACTGTTGTCTGTTATTGTTTTAGTTTTACTAAACTTTCATTTCTTAAGAATGAAATTTTTGGTTTTTAGATATTCTCAGAAGAACTCACTTCAGAAAAGACAATACAACCTAAAAGATACTTTTAAGACTGAATACTTTTCGTAGCCACACTCCTACAAACAAACAAACATTTCACTGAGAAAAATAGCTATAAACGCTGAGAGTGATGCTTGGTTTTAATTTTACTATTATTTTTTATTCCTGCACGTTCCTAGAGGAACATAGGGCTTCTTCAAGCTAAAGCTTTGAAGTCTTGTTAGCAGTGGTGTTTATGTTTACGGGATGGAGTCGCTGGCCTTATGCTTAAACTTCCCTCTTCATTAGTCTTATTACTAACTTAGCGAGCTGAGGGAATGAGTCGGTCAAGGATCGAACCCGGAACAAATGAGGCGTGATCTGTGAGCATTCTACTACTTTGCCGCCGATGTACACCACTTGGCTTTAATAAAGAGTATAAAAATAGTAGGAGAGTGGAAGCACTATGCTCACTTAATTATGCTTTAAAAGACCAGAAATATCGGATTGAAGAAACTATTTTCAAATACAGTTATCTCAAAAACCTATGCTAAGCACCTCACTTCCTTAGAATGCTTAGTTATTCGTAGAAACGTAGTCTTTCACTATTCTTTCATTAGTTATAAAAAGGAAGATAGATGAACTAGAGAAATCAATCTGTGGAAGGATAATCCTGAATAGTGACAATGAACAGCCATTTAAAACGTTTTCCTATCGCTTCCTGTTTTGGCCATAAGGTTTGATTCTTTCAATGTCGGTTTATCTTTAAACTACCAGTTCTACTATCTGCGTTATTTTAAAAGAGGCTTTCTGAATGACCATCTTCCTATACAAAGTTCATCGTGAAGTAGCATAGGATTTATTAACGTGTTTGTCAATCTTACAATATTTTATTTCTGATAAAAGATTTCAGTGGTAACTGTATCTACACTAATCTTATTTCCACAACATTTTTTGAATCTTACTCAGCTGATGTCGGGATGTACTGCAATCAGATGGACATGGTGTGTCGATCATCTAAAGCTTTCTGCTCTGATGAGAAACAGCTGAATAACATCTACTTTACACCACAATGTCTATGTCAGGCGGGATATTTACCGGTGTATCAGAATTATTTAGATTATTATGAATGTAGTAAGTTTGGGCATGAATTTCATTCTCCCTGTTTTACACTTCAATAAAAAGTGTATGCCTTATATTGTTTGCATGGTGACCAGCGATAGAAAACATGAGGTGACCGTTATCCTGCATGGTACTAATCAGCCGGGTTTACGTGAATCGTAATGACTGACTTTTGCGAGATACGAAGACAACAGACATTCCTTTAAATGCTTTAGTGCCACCCTTAATGACAACAAAATAAGTTGCTCAAAGAAAAGGCTCTTTCGGACTATTTCATTTCCCCCTTTAGACTACACAGCCACATTCAAATGCAATTCCTCAAGAAAGAGGGTAGCAGCAAAAGTGATGAGCTGTCACAAATATACTCCTTAAAATGAGTAAATGCATAAAAGAAGTTGAATCAGCGTAATACTGTTACTTAATAATGATGAGTTTAAATCAGAATGCATTTGGACAAGAAGGAAAACAGAGAGCCATGCGGGACTTCTTAATATATACAAGAGTTTTAACGAGTTAGAAAAACAAGCACACAAACGTCAAGTTAGTAGGAAATCAGCAAGTTTGTTACCATGATAGTAAAAGTGGTTGAATAATTCTCTTTTGTATGTAAAGTCCTGGCTTTTTAACTGAACGGCTAAGGCTTCAGCAATGCTTAGAGGAGACGAAAGTGTGTTGCTAAGTTGTTCTTTATTTAACAGATCACTTTGAAGGAGGAGTTTGTTGAGATGGATTGATCAGTGCTGACAAGATGTGCACTCCGTTTAGGGCCATTAGTGTGGTGAGAGCTGTGCGCTAGCCAAAATTGGCAGACAGCAATTTATATCAATATCTACGTCCTAAATCTTGGTCATGAGAAAGACAAGAACAAAGGCTTTGCGTGGGCGGATACGATTCGCAGATATATTGTATGACCTTCAAAGAAACGGCCACAAAGAGACGACAGAATAACTTCCAGTAAAAAACGATCAATCAGAAGACGTTGTTTCTCTGCTAAAATAACGAATAATGATGTACATAAAAATATATAAATATCTGTTGGTTTTCTCAATAAACGATCTGTTCCTAACCCTTATCTTCTGTCGTTACACTAGTCCTACCTTTCTGCAACCATGCGTGATAGTATTCTTGGACTCTTAGACAAGAAACGCGTCGAACAACCAACTCGCCTGACTCTACAATAACAGGTGTACTTAAAAGTTGTCAGATGCAAGATCTTGCCCTCAAGGCTTCTTCATACCGATGGACGACTGGAGTACACCACTTTTAGAGTTTCTGAGAAGAATGTTTTTCTCAAAGATGCAAATATACTTCTCCTAAGGATATTGCAGATTAAGTTTCCCTTGAATTCCAGGATCACTTATCATTTATTTTTGGAACAAGTAAGGTTGCTTTCCTCTGAACTTTCTTTTTGATATTCCTATCAGTGAATCTAGGTGGCTATCGACTTCGGATAGAGATTTCTTTCACAAGATCTGGTTCTGAACCTCTAACGGTATACTCAATCCATTCTCTAATACTGATGACATACAAACAGATGATACTCCTTTATTTAATTCTATAGCCAGTAGGAATGGTTTAAAAATTTAGGACGACATATACTGTGTTCTAATCTCAGGTACTGTCAGAGACATATCTAGCTGCAGAATCGGGGACATGTGTTCGAATCACCGGTAGGATATCAATTCTTTCGCAATTGTACATACGCCTTACTGACAAGTGCCCAATATGGGGAAACCTAGAACTTAGTCTTCATGACAACTGTCTCCAACCGTCTTCTAACACCTTCAAACTAAACAACTACATTGTTGTTATTCAAATGCTCAACATGAACTGAAAACAACACTCACGTGAGTAGTCGTCAGTTGCTAAATGGTTTAGTGTCACCTTTTCAGGAACTACTGTCACGTACTGGATTCATTGTACTGACGTTGTATTAGTTGGCAGTGCTGACAGATGTTTCCAAATCAGTCGTATGGGAAGAATGTTATCTTAAATACAAAAATAAATAATCCAGGTTGCATTCAAACACTGAGACAAATAGTGCTATGTAGCGATATCTGTCACAAAGCAATACAAGTTCTCCTTTGTTAGACAACTTTCCAGTAGGATGCTGACTTATTCATCCTTCAAAAATGCAGTAGATAAAATATGAATAAGAATATTTTACCTTTTGATACACATATCAACAAATGTCCTTGTTCCTTCCATTCATCATATCTGAAATTACATCATATAATCTATAAAACGACGCAGTCAAAAGTATCCAAAAGACCGTATTCACAAAGATTTGAGGCAAACATAAAGAAAGAATAGCGACCACGAAGTGTAAGTTCATCAGTGATCTTGAACACATACCATTCTTTCGATTACAGAACCCATCACCATGTATTCTACATCAAAAAGTAGTTTATTTATCAGAAAATCTAACATCAGTCTTGAATTGGAAATTGAACACCAAGTCTATAGTCAGACTCATGTTTAAAACACTAATTTTATTCGTAATTGGTTATTATTTCTGTGAAAATATGATATTTTTAGTTGGTAGAATTTGTGTCTTTAAAAATGTAATGTGCGTCGGTGCCATAGCGGTTAGGACGCTCGCCAACACCGACACACACCTGTTATCAATGGTAGGCCTGCTAAATTTGTGCTACTGATATCATATGCTGAAAACTCCATACTTCTACTGAAATACTGTGTGGAATCAAGCTACAATGAAATGAAATGAAATAAATAATAATAGTGAAAGAGATTGATGACAATATTTTACTCTGACGTAACTCAAAAGATTCATCCCAGTTACAATGAAGGGTATCATTTAGCAAGTTTCACAGCCATCAAAACAACGAAACCCTCTCCTCCCATATATTCAATTACAATTAAAAAGTACAGACAAAAATAAAACACCCTAATACTTATCTAAACCCTAACCTTAATACTAATCCTAACCCAAAACGTACTAGCAACTCATTGTCCCAAAGGTACTTCAGAAAGATATAAGCATGAAATTTGCACATCATTGAGCGCAAAGCGTTCATTATGGCGGTGTAATAACGGCAGGTTCTATAATCAAAAGAATGATATGCGTTCATTGTCACTGGTGCGTTCTCAACCCGTAGTCAATATTCCTAAGGTTAATCAGATTTGGTTTCACTTATTCAAGGAATTTATCAAGTTACTACACCCGTTGAGTGGTAAGGCTAACTTCTTGAACAAGTCTGAAATCCAATCTGCGTTAATGTAGACTTTCAGACATTTTTGACTACGTCACTTACTTCCACAGGTGACCGATGAGTTTATGATTTCATTAGACGTTTGATTTCTGTTCACAAATGCACTAACAGCAGAAATCGCCCATTATTTATATCTTATACAAAACACAGATTACAAATATAAACATGTGTATGTTTGTGAAATATAAGCAGTATTTACTGGTTTCTACCCTCTTTGCCCAATTTTCACAGTTCCAATCTGTAAACAATGTTACCCGATGGAAAGATTTTCCCCTCGAATGAATTGTACATGTCCTGAAATTATCTGGTCAGACGACTATCATCGAATCTATAAAACTAATGATTCAAATGAAGACAATTTACTCAGTGAGCTGTTTTATTTTGGTCTCAATAATTCCTTTTTGTATTGTAAAATCTAATTCCAAGTTACTAAATATGGTCAATTAATTCATCGGGTATTTTTAAAATGTACTTCTGTATTCCTCAATAATTTTCAACGTACAATATACATTGTTGTTTAAATCAGTCTTGTATTGAACATTGAGTATAAAGTGTAGAGTCAGACTCGGGTTTAAAACACTATAATTTTAGAAATCTATAAAACACAAAATAATTGAGCAAAGAATATTCTTTTCGATAAATTCCTCCTCTGGCTCTACAATATTATATATGTATGTATACATGCAGAGAATATTGTAGAATAATCGCCATCAACAATATTGGTGTTTTTAAATACTCTCGATTTGTAAAGTAAGATCAATCGAATGACAATTCATCAAAGATGCTTCAATTATAATAATAATAATAAAGATATAATAGCAAATGGAATATCAAATAAAAATGGGAAAATTCCACAAAAATTCAAGATCATTCAGACCTAGATGGCCAAGGTAATGATAATGTCTGAACACAAGACTGACGTTAACCATGCTTTCAGGATCATTTACCCCATACCTACGAATCTCAATTTTGCCTTAAGATTTCGACTACTAAATATTGCTGAGGCTGGCTGTGGGGATCCATATTAACAAGCCTAATTTATGCATCTAAAAGAAGTTAGTTCAGACATTATCCTTACTTTGGCCATCTAGGTTTGAATGATCTTGAATTTTTGTGATATATTCCTAATTTTAGTTGATGTTCTATTTGCTATTATATCTTTATTACTATTATAATTTAAGCATCTTTAATGAAATGTAATTCCATTGTGATCTTACTTTACAAATCGATATTATTTAAAAAACACTAATATTGTTACTGACTATTATTCTAGAATATTCTGTATATATAAACATATACGTATATAATTGTAGAACCAGAAGAGGAGGAAATTATCGAGCAGGATATTCTTTGCCCAATTATTTTGTGTTTCATAGATGTCTGAATGAATACTTTTGCTACTTTAATTTTACTCGTAATCGGTTATGTTTCTGTCATAATATGATATTTTTCTAGTTGGTAGATTTTGTGTCTTTAAAAATGTAATGCTCTTACAGTGAGTAATTAATTGTTTGATGGTCAATTCAGCTTATGAAAGATGCAAAGCATAGACTTATTATACGCCTAACTTGATGGAAACTATCTGGACAAAATCAACTTGGTGTATTCTCTCGATAAATATTTAGTATTGTAATTAGTTTCACACTAGGTTAGTTTTACCAAGTGTTGTTCTGAAGAGATTTGACTGGTCACAGAGTTGGATTACGAATTGATATCAATTTGAGAAGTATTGGAAAACTAGCAGGTAGTGCTGGGTAGTTGTTTAATCCTAGCTTGGGACTCACCAACAGTACACACCCATCGCCAAGATTTGAGCTCACGACCTTCCGATTACAAGGCGAGCTTGTAGACCATTCAGCCACTGAGATCTGATGCAGTGGCCAGTGCATGAATTCCGGCATTTGCAAATTTCTTCTCTGTCTAGTCAAGTAAGAGATCAGTTATTCGCCTATGACAATGGATAGCGATTGCTCTATATATTAGACAGCGAACTGGCAGAATCTAGAATTTATGGACCATTGGACCATTGGTCTCAGGGTCTTGTCTTTTAACTAGGAAGTCCTGGGGTTTATAATTTTTATTATTATATAATTATTGTTCCCTTCGGTTCCAAGTGGAATATAACGCTTCAGCTGCACGTCTTCACTTACTTCTGTCTTCTGCTGTACTTTTCACCTGCATCCATGTTAGTCCATACTGTTACAACTCCTCTTCACACGATCTCCTCCATGTCACCATTGCACTCACGTCCCACTCGCCGCTTCCCTTTCGGGTTCCACTCGAGCGTTGGCCTGACGCGCGATGTCACCCCGCAGCGGCCTCCTCAGCGAGTGTCCAATCCATCTCCACTTTCTCCTGCATATTTGTTGGGCGATTGGTTTTGTTTGTTCCCATAGTTTCTTGTTGGCGATTCTTTCCGACCATCTGATCTTGAGTATAGAACGAAGACAGTTGTTGATAAAGGTCTGCAACAGGCTGTTGGAAATATTCTTTGTGACCCGCCAAGTTTCTGATCCGTATAGAAGAACTGACTGACTTGACGTTTGTATTGAAAATCCGAATTTTGTTGTTGATGCAAGCTGAGTGACGAAGATTTCCAGATTGGTTTCAGGTTGATGAATGTGTTTCTCGCCTTCCCGATTGTCGATTTGACATCCTCGTCCGTTCCTCATGTAGTTGAGACAATGCTCCCTAGATAAGTGAATGAAGTAACCTGTTTCAAATCCCTCCCGTTGATAATGATTGGCGCTGGATGTTGCTGCTGTTGTTGTTGGTTGGTTATTTTCATAACCTCCGTCTTGTCTGTGTTCACCTGGAGTCCTGTCTTTGCTGCTTCTTCGACCAGTTTGTCGGTTTTCGCTTGTAAGTCTTCGATTTTGTGTGACATCAAACATAATTCATCCGCAAAATCCAGGTCTTGTAAGTTTTTCACGTCGGTCCAGGATAACCCTGTCTTCTCGTTTCCCACTGTCCAGTCCACCACAATTAGGAATATCACTGGTGATAACAAGCACCCTTGTCTGACTCCTGTGTTTACTCCAAACGCCTCGGTGAGTTTTCCGTTGTAGATCACTTGACAATTTTACTTGATATAATTTAAATATTCCCACTATGATATTTATAGAACACGATAAAGGTAGATATGTAATTTCAGTAAATTCGTATCTGGACTTACAACTATATAATATAATGCCAGTCATAGGCATTTTTAACCAATGTGGTTAGCAGAATTAAAGTTCAGGGATGTGAATTAGTGGATAATAATTGAAGTCATCATAACAGTAATAACAAGGACAAGTTAATTCAGTCAAGGTAGTCGTAAATGTATAAGTAGAAAGTGTATATTAGTGGGGATAGAGGGGAAAGGTAACAACTGCCTCATAGCGATTAGATAATATAGTAATACCAAATTAGGAAACCAAGACTGAAATACACAACTACAGTACAGTGTGGTACTGATGATAAAGTCAGCAGTACAATTTTTAAAAAATATTTACAGTTATCCTGTATCCCTGATGGAGACACCTATTCTAGGTTGGGAATGAAGGCCATGGGAGGGAGCAGGATTGAACAATCTTCTCCTGAGCCGAGAGATTAAGCTGAAAAATACTATCGAAATTGCCTCAACTATGCTTAACAATCGAAGGCGTATAGACTTGAGGATTTGAGGTGATACTTTGCATAGAATTGTAAAGGCACACATTTTGTCAATCTTGTGATCCGTATCCGCATGATGTTCCAATCTGGAACCTCTGATTGACTTTAAGACTCCTTTATCCAATCACGCCGGATAATGCTCTGCAAGGCAACGGTGAACTTGGTGAGTCGCTCTACCTGTGTATCTGTCACTAGAAGAACAGATCACTTTATAAATGCACACTGAAGTGTCCAAACTCTGTAGTTTATCTTTCACCTACATTAAAATTATACAATAAGTGGTGATTTTTAAACATATTTTTGCGGCAAAGAATGTTGTAGCTGTTGTTATCCAATGTTTTGATGCTCGTAATTCAAAGACTGCGTTTCCCTTGAACGGTTATGTGATACATATAAACCTCTTGTGGAGATTTTCCCATCACAAGACGTCAGAGTACTGATGAGATTTTGTTTGTATGCAAAAGGGACAAACGACCTAGTATACACATTCTAGTTACATTCGCCTTGATTATATTTGATGCTAATGATCCACATTGTTTCAAATATACATGACTGATACCTTATTATGCAACTGTAAAGCCTAATGAGAATTTACTGAAAATATGGACATACTTAAATCAAGTTGACAATTTGTCAGCTCTCGTATCTTACCTATTCTACTTTACTGCTCCCTGTTAGTCTTTCCTGGTCTACTGAAAAAGGACTATACCATCCTGAGAAAGATGTTGAAGGTAGTCAGTAGGACTAGTGGTGTAAAACTCAGTCAGCTCGTCACTACATTAGTTGATAGGCATCAGAATACATGCGAGAAATGGTCTAAAACCATACTCTCCGACCCCCGAACATCCCCTCTATTCCCAACTCTCGCCTTGTATCTCATCAAGTAAAACCAGAAATCAGTACAAAATAATATATGCTCGTACAACCAAGTACAGGAACTCGACGATACCATATTTGACAGAGACAATGTTAAGCACGAAACCTATGACTTGTTTTGTTGTTATTAACATAATTTTGGCTCTTTTATTTCTCTCTTATTCTGTATTCTATAGTGAACACCTTCTTAAACATACTAAGCTACCTAAATTAATAACATTGGCTTACTTTTTTGTACTTTATTCTATTCCTTCTTTTGTGTATCTACTGGTTCCGACTATATTAGCACTATGAGTATTACAAAATTGTCCTGTCATTAACCATCATGTAATATTAGTTTTGTAGTTGTTTTTTGTTCGGCAATATTAACTGACAATCCTGGTTGTGAACGCTATTATCACCATCTTAAAATTTTGTATTATGCAGGATTACTCACACTACCATTACAAACACTGCATTAGAGCTGACAATAAAAACTCTGAAATATTATTTTATGATTGTTTAGTGTTGTTCAATCAAATTAACTGATCATCTTGGCGATAAACATTCTTAAATACCATTTCATAATTTCTTGTATAATTATAGCTTTACTGTCACCACGCATAAACTTATCATAGCTTCCACTACCCAATACTGTGATATTATTTATTATGTTGTTTATTTTCCTTTCTACTTCTTGGTATTTTTTTCTTTTTCGCATTTTTTAAATTTATTTTGTGTCTTTCTGTTTTTGTTGTTGTTGTTTTTATATTTATTTTTTGAAATACTCCTTTCAAATATTTGATAAAATTAGATGCAATATTGTAGATATTTGCTGAAAATTCCACACTGCACCACTAGTACTGTTTCTGGAATAAAGCAAATTATTTTATTATTATCATTATTATTATTACGATGTACCATGACATCAACTGCTACAGTATATTAATAAGTAGCTGACATTCAGAGCATATTTCACTGGTCATAATTATTACGCCTTACTAACTGGTAACTGCCAACCAGCACGAAATCTAAGTCAGGTGAGGCCTCCTCCCGACTGCATCCAACTATCTAATATCATCAGATCAATGTGCATGATCAGTATGTCAGGGTTATGTGAACACAACCTAATCAAAAAAGAAGCGTTATGATTAATGAGATGCCACAAGTCAACACCACACTTACAAAGTTATCTTCCATGGGATTTCACCTCTAGTTTCTCATAATTTCAGAGAACAGATGGGCACTTATTTCTTTGTTTTCTCTCAATTGCATTCCTTTCTGTCTCAGTGGAATATAGCGCATCGAGCTAGAGCTTAGAAGTCTCAGTAGTATTGGTTTTATTATGTTTACGGTGTGGGGCTGCTGTCCTAAAGTACAGTCTTCCCTCTTTACCGGTCTTACTATTGTTTTGAGAAGGTTTAGGAGTTAGTCAGCCGAGGGTTGAACCTTGGACCAAGTGCGTAACTGGCAAGTGTCCTACCGCTGAACCACCGACGATGAGAAATACCTACTGAATAATTTTAAATATTTGACCTGAAAATATGTATACATGATTTGGATGTACAATTTCCAAATTATTTAAGTATTTCGCATACTAATTATTATTTTTCTTATTTCTTATTGTTTATCTGACTGTCTACCTTTCTGTGTATTTGTCTAGACATATCTTACACTCAACAAAACTTGACAGTATGCTTCAATCCATTATTCAGGCACAGAATGAGGCTTGATTTCTTCCATAACGACACAATGAATATGGTGATTTTTCTGTCAAATCATTTCAAATCGTCATATCCACACGACGGTTGTGTATTGCATAAATTTGAACAAGGCGTTTGGTGTAAAACATTTAATTTGTTGTCATTTGACTTTTTATCACCTTGTGCCTTCATTCAGTATAACAAAACTTCAGTAAGTACAAATTGTAGGAATAACTAATTATTGTATATTGTGTCTAATGTTTGAATATAAAAAACAATCATTTCGGTTATATTTAATTTAAGGCTCTGTGATACTTTCTCACGTAACAAATACTTCTAGCATTGAATACATTATACAAGCCTCCAACTTATATTCTCATTTGAGAAATAACTCTCAAGCATATAGATAGTTTGTAAAACTGACACCGTATCCGCCGGATCACGACCATATTACTCCATAAAAGAGCAACAGAAGCCACGCCCTGAACGAGTACAGAGGACTAATCTATTATTATTATTGTTTCCTTTAGTTCCTAGAGGAAGACAGGACTTTTGCCGCACGTTTCCATTGCGTTCAGTTCTCTGCTAAAGTTTTCACCTGGCTCCACGTCTGTCCACATGCTCCCATCTCCTCTTCGCATGAACTCTTCCATGTCACCCTCGCAATGACGACCAACCCACCGCTTTCCACTCGAGCGATGGCCTGGCATGTGGTGGATGTCACTTGATGATGGTTTGTTTTCTCAGAGCATGTCCAATCCACCTCCATTTCTTCCTGCATATTTGTTGCACAGCTTGTTCCTCGTTGGTTCGCTCCCAGAGATCCCTGTTGCCCATCTTTTCTAACCAATCTACTATTTAGTAAATAAAAGTCTCGTTCGTTTTGGAAATTAACCAAACAGATTGCTTCGCTAACTAAGAAAGGCCTTACACTACCATCCACCTTATCGGAAAAGAGTTTTCAATCTGCCAATCGTCAAAGTGTCGCTGACGGCTGAGTTGTCCCAAGTTGAGTAGAACTAAACCACAGTCTCCACTCCTGATGGTGTCCTTCCGTCAGTTTATCTAGGCTTCAGCCTTGCAACCGTACTTTCTACGGAGTTCAAGGAGCTGCAAATTTCTCGGAAATCTCCGCGAACCGTCAGTTAACATAGTTTATGGTCAGAACTATAACGACATCTGGTCGTCTTCGAAACTCTGACCTTCGCTCCTGATCAAATGTTTCTGTTGTATTTTGTCTGACGATGCTCCTAGAATCTCATCCCCATTACCGCCATATAAATGACCCATCTGTCCTTCTTAAACATTAATTTGGATCCGAAAACCAACAAAATAGAATTGAAGTCCTATTTCTAAGTTGTTCAAAGTTAGCATGCCGTTTACTCCACTTGCTATGGCTGTTCTGGCGTGCTGTTGGACCTATAAATTCTTAAGTTCGTTATTTTTCTTTCCTTAATTTATTTGATATTAGGTTTAGTGCTATACAGATGCATATTATTACCTGCAGATCCTTTTTTACTGTGATCTAGTGATCTGACCTGATTCAATGTTATTTAAAGCACCAATGCTGTTAATAATAACAGTAGGTCTTAAACTATTATGAATACATGTTAATGGAGAACCTAATAAATTTTCGGAAAAGACTATCCTTTGTTCACCAATCAGTCTTCAGAAAAGTCCTAGTGCCTGGTGATAGCTTTCTTCCCTTGGGTTCCAAGTGGAACATAAGGCTTCAACAACACATCTTCACCTTGTTCTATTCTCTGCTATCCTCTTCAGCTAGGTGCACGACTGCCCATAATCTCTCATCTCCTTCTTGCTTCACAATTTCCCCCATGTCACCGTCACACCACTGACCCACTCGTCGCTTCCCCTTTGGATTCTACTCGAACAATGAACCGCATTGCGCACGACATCATTCGGTCCCCCCCCACCCCAATGCCTCCTCTTACTGCCTAAATAAGCAGAATTTCATTCACCTTAGCCTTACACTACTTCACTTGTTCAGTAGGGATGAAAACTGGATGACATAAGGCTAATCAATTAATTTGTTCATCAATAAAGATGGAAGTGAATTTTTACATTACAAATAAGTGATTAGTTTGTTTGTCTAAAATGATATTAAATATTTGCCTATGATAATAATTTGGCTCTCTCACGACAACAGTAAATATCTACCTTATTTTTTTCAAATTTCTCTTTTTCTTTAGAGACAATTTATTTTCAAAAGTTTTATCAACATGTTTGTTCGCCAACCATTCGATTTATCGACCAAAAAAGTACAGTATTCCATCTCATTCACGTCGAAATTGAATGAAGAAAATGTTTTGAACAATTTTACTGAAATTAAGTTAGTTTTTTCAAAAATGTATTGTTACTATTATTATTACTATCCTTTAGGTTTGGTGTAGAACATGGGGCTTCAGCTACAGATTTCTATTTTATTCTGTTCTCTCCTGTCGTTTTTGTTAACTAGCTCCATGATTGTATATATATATATATATATATATATATATATATATAATCACAGTTAATAAATGTCACTTTGTGAACAAATCATTGGATACGTAAAATTTAAAATTCCACTTTATTTTAAATGAACCTCCTTTTCATCCTCTACGTTGTTCCAAGTGGAAAATAAGCTTTCTGCCTTGAAGCTTTGGAGTTTATTAGTGGTATAGCTGGTTTTTACGTGATGGAGTTGCTAGTACCTAACCTTCCCTCTTTTCCGGGCCTGCTGTTGGCTAGGTTATGTCTGAGAGTTCGACTTCCGGGAGCTAAGCCCCGGTTCACGTGAGTGATTGGCAAGTATTCTACAGTAGAACTACCAACGCATACAGAACTTTCCAATGGATTTAAATTGAAAAAAGTGAAAGTTAAAATAACAGCTAATAATTGGTGGATTTTCTAACAAGCTGTCTAGTAACACTAAACTGAAAGGAGGAACCGACGTCTCTAGGGTGAAAATCAGGACTATTTAATTCAGTTTGAACTTGACTGACTGCAACAAAGTGTTCCGCCTCGAGTTAAATCTTCAGACACTGTTGAAGCATCAGCGCAGCGAGCCGACATGAAAGCCATTGCACAAGAGGTGCCTCTTCAGGACCAAGTGGTATGTTGAATAACACTGGCGTTTGAAACGATTAGTACTGGGTACCTGACTCATTGAGAACACCATCACTCACTGGGGAGTGCAAGTACACCCATTTGACGAGTCCCAAATAGGATGAAGTGCACATCATAGATTCCACTGCTACTCTTCACCTACCAAACATCAAGTCTGCCTAAATATAAGTTAATGAGTGTAGTTGCGGTATTTATCCCTACAAACTAACTCTTGAAAATTAATCTGATAATCGCTAGTGACTGGCTACAGGACTAAGTTGCATGGAGTTCTAGTGAGAAGTAGCGACTACTGAGGCCCAACCAGTCAGGAGCGAGGATGCATTACCAACCGATGAAACTAGTTGGTGATCGCGCTAAAGTCATAAAATGGTAGAAGTTAGAATTCATGTAATGGCCATTGAATCGCATCCCAGTGGCTGAATGGTATATGAGCCTGCCTTGTAACCGGAAGGTCCTCGGTTCGAACCCCAATGGTGAGTGCGCACTAAAGATGAATCTCGAACTAGCACGAAACCAGTACTCCCTGGTTTTCAGTGATTCTGTAACTGATATCAATCTGTGGTCTAACCTGAAATATAATGTTGTGGTTAATACCTAAAAATTGGAGGCTGCATGAAGTAAGAATATTAGTGGCAAGCGATAATGTCAGCCTTCTGTCTACTGATTTCATGACAATACAAGTAGATATTCTGAAGAAGTTCAAACGCTGATTTAGAAACTTACTCAAACCTCTTACCGTATTTCTTCACATTTCAGTCATCACTACGAAGCGATGTATTACACTTTTGTAATATTCCCTTTGGATCATATTTTTTTAATCGTTGGGTTTCGTCACGAACCAACATCAGTTAGACAGATAATTGAAAACTTGGCGGCACTGGATAGCTGCTTCATCCTATTTTCCGACTTCTCAGTGTTGCGCACCCACGGCTCTAACAGGGATCGAACCTGCGACCTCCAGTCCACGAGACTAAGCTCGTTGACCATTCAGTCACTTGTGCTGGAATTCAATGACCCGTGAATTCTAAGTTTGTCGGCTTGTGATACAGAGCTTCCCTCACCAGTGCCTCAAATGAATACCTACTTCACCTTGATATGGTCGACCCTCGTGGTCACAACTTCTCACTACAACTTCAGGACATCCATTCAGTAACCATAAATGAACTGGAGATTAGTATTCAACTCATGGGTTTATACAGAATAATCTTTAGGGAGCTAATTGATTTGAATACTGATCATTTAACTAACTGGCATTATACAGAAAACACTAATATATGAAGGAATACTGAACATCTGTTTTATTTCAGTAGTTCCTTCCAAGCAGATTAGGGAGGACATACGGTCATGTTTTTAAATATTTGTATGAGAAAGTAATAGTTTTGCATTCTATGACGCCTTCTTATTTCTCGTACATTTTGGATACGTATTTATATTCTGTTTATATTTGTTCAACCCATTTCTTTCAAACGAAGTACTCGTAAATCTATCACTGACCATCTTAGCATACCGCCTGAATGAAAATACTAGCGGGATGAATCAAAAAACGTATTCGGAGCTTGTGTGTGCCGTGCCTTCTAGGAAAACGTTTTTCATTCCTACCATTTCTGTTTCAGCCTAAGGCTTCAAGCGATCAACTCTGAGGTTTCAATAGAACTGACAAGGTTACTGGCCTCACACGTTACCTTCCGTCTTTTCTGGGCCTTTTATCGGCTAGAAGTTCAACTATCGGGAATCCAATCCTGACTAACCGCATGTCTAATGCTTATTCTAACATTAAACCACCGATCCTTACCGTCATTGTTGTGGTTTATCCGCCAAGAATTGTGTCAGACTACACAGTCAATATTCCTTTTTAAAGAAGTTTTATATTTATCTGATGAAAGTTGACCTAACAAAACGTTTTAGATAGCATTTGCAGAAGTAGTCGATTCAGAATCGAATTCCTCTTTATCGAGACTGGACTGTTTCTGTGGTTGGCAAGCATCCTACTTTTGGACCACCAACGCACTAGAAAAACTTACTCTACTGTGGTATTCGTCTCATAACTGGTTACTTTTTGTTTAGCAGACTTAGAGAAACTCATCTGAAGTAACTTTACACTTGATTTACCGCCAAAAATGTAAGCTAATTTATGTGTTTACTTAATTAGTTAATAAGTAAACAACAATAATTCAGCAAAAATATTTTCTATGAGATTTTCAGACGATCACATGTCGTATATGGTTGATATGTTGGCATGAACCATCATGTCCTCCCTCCCTTCACAGGATTTGTAATATGGTCTGTTACATGATTTGAAAAAATTTCAAGCGATAAAGTGTTTAATTAACCTTGAAAGAATGTATAATTGTTAAAATGTTTAAGGCAATTTTGAGAATTGCGCAAAATCTCACAATATAGACATCTATTATTTTGCAATGTAACAAAACAAAGGTTGCTTTGATACAGACTAGGCACCAAAAAAAACTGTTTGGACCATTGTAATCGTAAAGTTGCGTATATGTCACACTTATGTAATACAATCATATGTTTGTTATTGGTTCTCTTAGTTGCCTCTAATTTGATAATGGTTGAAGGTAAGAAGTATGAAGCCATGCCCCATCCCTTTTTAATTGTTACTAGTAGTCATTCAAAAAATATATTGTCAGTCTAAACGGGAATTGTAAGTCCTCAAAAACTTGAAAATAATGCAGTCAGAAATTTCATTACAAAGCTAATAATTAGTCCTTCCATTTTGTTAATATTGGCAAATCTTCCGAACGAGAGAATTCCAAAATTCTTAACGATCAGTATATCTGATAGTTCAATGAGTATCCTGTTTAAAAGGGTCCAGAAACACTATCTCGCATGTTTTCAGAGAAATGGTAGTATCTCTATAAGAAGTGTGACAGTCGAACATCTTGTCAACACTGACCATTTCATCTCAACAAATCCCTCCTTCAAAGTAATCTACAAAGTGAAGAGCAACCTGTAGAAGACAATATGCTTCCCTTTCCTTTGCACTGCTGAAGCTTCAGTCATTCACTTAGAGAAACCGACTGGAAATATGCACACAAAAGGAAAATACTTAATCACTTCAACTGTCGCTGTAACAACGTCGCTGACTTCAGCTGACTTCATTTATGTTTCTTTGTTGGATTTTCTAACTCCTTACTAATCAATTAAATCCCTACAAACCAACACTTGAATATCAGTGAGGTGCTCACTAGCGACTTGCCCTATTCAGGTAGGGAGTTACCTGGGGTTCTAGTGGGAAGTCGTAACTAGTATGGTTCAGCAGGTCAAATACTCGCCGAAGACATTGGTTAATGGTCGCGTTATGTCGTGAATTGGCAGATGTTGGAATTCATAGGCCATTGTATCGAGTCCCAGTGGCTTAATGGTATACAAGCTAGCTCACCTTGTAACCAGAAGGTCCTGGGTTCAAATTGTGTGGGTGGGTGCGTGCTGCTGAAGAGCCACAAACCAGTCTGATGAAATAGCTGGCTGTCCAGCACTCCCAGGTTTTCCAATGGTTCTCTAACCAATGTGTCAGCTCATGATGAAATCCTGTAACCAATCTATCAAATCCCTACAAACCAATACTTGAATTCTTTAGAACTCTGATATGGTTCCATATTATTCTTCCCTTCAGTGCACATACTGATCACAGCTCACTCAATAAATCATTCATGTTATTATGTAATCTCAATACACTTACTTGCTCAGCTCCTCTTATGGATTGACTAATATTAACAGCTATGCTTGTGATTACTCATCACTTTTGTTACCATCCTCTTTCATAAGAAAACTGTGTATAAATGCGGTTGTATAGCTAAAAAGGAAAACGGTTTCGCCAAAAAAGGGCCTCTTCGCTGGACCACGTGTTTTGTTCTCTTTTTAAATGCCTGGATGAAGGCTATTCATGAAGGTCATAAACTGTCTATAATTTAGCATATTAATATAAAATCCTCCATATAAGAAGCAAGTTACTTAATATCAAAATAAGTTTTAGACTGTAAGGTTGTACCGCTGTTGGTTGATTTTTCGCGGTGTAGAACTGTCAATCACTATAAGTACACCACTGCCTCAGAGACATGCCGATCAGATCATCCATCTCGATAAGGGAAGAGCATTAAGACTAGGATTAAAACTAGCAATAGGTAGAGAATTATGATAACAAGTAAATACACGGTTAGAGGTGTGTACACCTGACCCAATGAAAACATCAAAAATCTCACAAAA